TTGGGGTGCACAGACCTGAGAGCAGACATCTGTGTGCTTGCATAACCCTGTTTTTGTTTGTTTTTCTCTCTCTCCTGGCTTTCATTTTCAGGTCCTCTTTATTCATCTCATCTACATGCCTGTCAAATAAGGGTCTGAAAGCTGTACCTTCTCCAAGGAAGTATGCAGAGAAATCCCTGGCTGAGCAGTCCTGTGCTCTGCAAAAATGCCTTTTCTCTGGTAAGCAGGATGGCGGGTTTTGTCCCCTTTAGTTTCTCCTGGAGCTTTTCTTTTTAACTTAGTGGAGAGCTAGGTATAGCCAGATTAATAAACAGCAGGCTTCGGTCTCAGGAGAATAATTTGGTTTGTGTGGGTGTGTGTTGGTTCCTCCCAGGTCAGAAGAGGGTGTTGAATCCCCTGAAACTGGGGTTATGAGCCATCCAAGGTGGGTGTTGTGAAGCAAAGCCAGGTCCTCTGCAAGAATACCAAATGCTCACATGGTCTTAACTGCTGAACCATCTCTCCAGAGCCTCTACAACAACAACAACAATAATGATAGATAGATAGATAGATAGATAGATAGATAGATAGATAGATAGATAGATAGATAGATAGATAGGGTTTTTGCTGAACCCAGAGTTCACTTATTCATAGGCTGGCTGGCCAGTGAGTTCCACCTGTCCCTGCCTCACCAGTGCTGGGAGAGCAGATGCATGCTGCTGTGTCTGGCTTTCTGCTGGAGTTAGAGAGTTGTAAACTGCCATGTAGGTGCTAGGAATCGAACTTGGGTCCTCTGGAGGATCAATACAAGCTCTTAACCTCTGAATCATCTCTTTAGTACACCCACCAAACAACTGGTTTTATGAGGTGCCACAGATGGAGATCAGGGCTTTGCACATGCTAGGCAAGCACTCTATCAACTGAGCCTACAAAGAACAGGATGACTTTAAAAACTGAATCTGTACAATCCCTCTCATCTTCCCAAGGAAACCACAATAGACTTTTAGTCTCCATATCAACAACTGAAAGCCCCAAAGCTTTGGTTCTCTTCCACCTGGCCAGCTGCTTGGACAATAACTTCAGGATTCTCCAGTGAACTGTAAATTCAGCCTCATTTTCTAATTCAAAGGTGCTCATGCTCAGCGTACATCAGAGGTGAGTGGAGGAAAGGGATACAGGCCAAAGTTTCCAAAACGGTCAGTTTGACCTACTCTGCATTAGAAACAGCCATGTCATGGTTAAAAGAAACAAAAACACCTTCCCAAGACAGAAAAGTCTCCCAAAAGCAAGCTTATTGATTTTTTGAATTTGTTTTAGTTTACATAAGCTTTTCATATATAAGCCGCTGTGGTCATAAACGTTTAATCGGCTCCCAGGATCTTAAACATAATCAAGGATCCCATTACCTGGTGCTCTGTGTCTCTGATTCCTCCACAATTTTCATTCCTTTTTGTAGTCTTTGCCAGATAATAAAGTTGATTCCCCTTCAAACCCTTCCCCAAATGGTTAGATCATTATCAGTCCATTTGTTGACTGACTCCCATTTACAATTCTTGTGGAACTCTAGCCAATGGCAGTTAAGACGACTCAAAAGCACTTTCAGATGGGAGGCCCTTCTCCAAAGCTTTGACCTCATTTGTTCTTGGATCTTGAAAACAATTGCCGAGATTTTTTTTTTCAGCAATTTTCAATTCAAGCATACTGGATTTGTTCTCCAAACAAGACTGTGGTCCATCTTAACGGCAAGATCAAGAGAGGGGAGAGGCCCTGGAAAAGTTGACTATAATTATAAAGGAAGGGAGGAACATGGGATGCTTTGGGGAGAATCATTCTGAGAGGAAAGATGGTGCAGAACAAGAAATAGACATTCAGAAGGTCTGGCCCAAAGCTAGGGTTGGATTGGTGAATCTGAGGCCATTTTTACATATACACAACAGTTCAGAAATAAGAACTTCACTTACTGTGAGCCATGGCATTCCACCATGGGCACTGGAAATAACCTTTAGTTTGAACCATATAGGGTAGGAGGGTGAGACACCTTTCTTCAGCTGTCAAATGGATCACCAATGACTTCCCTCTAACAAAAGATAGATTATATAGAGAGAAGCATAGCAGATTTATCTCAGCCAACTTTTGTGTGGCTAAGGAGCCTTCAGAAGGAAGGCCTAGACCTAACAACCTATACAAAATTGGTTACTTTCATGTTTAGGTCTGAGGACAGCTTTACAGAAATGTGACTGGGCCAAAGAAATGATTAGATATAATAGGCTGGGTAAGGAAACTTGGCAGTTCGTGCCCACATCCATCTTGGCATCTCTCTGTGACATTCCTTCCCACTAGGTAGAGGACAAAGCCTCTTCCACAGGGAAGGTCTTATGATCCAGCCAGTGAAGGTAAGCCAGAGAAATCTCTACAGCCAGTTCTTACATGAGTAATTGAGGAACTATTTCTAAGTTTCATGAGGGGCATTTGGAGAGAGGGGTTCTATGGCCTGCCTTGGAGGATAGAAGAAGGTAGGTGAAAGAAGAGAACAGGACAGAGTTAGAAAGAATTTGTTTCTGTGGCTTCCCAATTTCCTGTGGCTCAAAATATGCACCAAACAAGCTACAGTGCCATGCTTTGAAAACTGTTTTCTGGGCTCCAAGAGGAGAGATGCTGACACATGTTCATGACGGTCAAAGCTTCAATCACTGCAGAGCCGGGGAAGGCATTTATCATTTCTCACATTTGAAACTGTCACAGGCACTCGGTGACCTGGGTGTTCATTTGATCTTGACTTTCCATAGCCTATGTGCTTTCAAGCCCTGTGTACTCCAGGTCCTTAACACGTAGGATGTCTATCCCCCTCTCAGTACATCCAGGCTCTACCTAGACTATCTGGCCTTGGAATGGGCCCTGCACCTCAACACCTTGTGTTAGTTTGCTCTGCACAGGCCAGCCTCACCTGACCTTCCCATGGCCTAGATCCTGTAGGCATTGCAAATAGCCAAGCAATGGATTCCCTCTCATTGGACTATTCTCCTTCCAACCTGACCCTTGCAAGCCCTTCTGGATCTTTCTTGTGTTGTCTGATGTGTTCCTTCAGTGACTATGCTCTGTTGGTTTGTAATTACTGTAAGGTCAAAGCTTGTGTTTGTCTACGCATGTCCTCACCTTCAACTTGGGGCAAACTCAAAACTTACCCCACAGGTTAAGGATTAAATGAGTTAACTCAAGGCAAGAATTTAGCCTTATACATGCACAAGGGTGGTGCAAACTGTGCTTACAATAATAGTAAATAGTACTGTGCTTACAACAAGACAGCTAAGTGGATGAAGGCTTCTGCAGGACAACCTTGCTCAATCACAGCAGCTACAAGGCGCAAGGAGAGACTCTGGACTCTCAAAAGTTGTTCTCTGACCTCCACATGCAGGCTATGGCACATACATGCACATACCTACACACACATCCAACCACAGTAAGTGTATAAAAGTGTACTAATTTCTTAAAGTATATACTCGGCAAACACATGCAGAACGGATGGATTCCCAATCCAGGTCCTGCCCCCACCTTATTCCAACCAGCTGTTACAGCTACGGTTTGTAATAGAATGTAGCAGGGCCGTGTGGCAGTCCGTGCTGGAGCGGAATCAGCAGTCCTCACTGCTCTGTCACCGTCACCAACAGTACAAACACATCTTTGTTTCCCTGCGGTTTGGAACGTGTGCTGCTGTGTTATGCAAGAATTAACTGAGGCAAGGTGATGTGCAATTAAAAGGGGCAGGAGTCACAAACTGCATAATCCATCTCCATGTCCCTTGACGTTGTCTTGGATAGCTCAAGTGTGCGGCATAGAGGGCACCCACTCTTCTTTCATTTCTGTTGTGACTAAATATCCTGACCGAAAGCAACATTCGGAAGAGTTTATCTGCGTCACAATTCTAGCTCGTGGCTGTGGGAAAGCTAAGGCAGGAACTTTGAGTATCACACCCAAGTGCGGAGCAGAGAGAAAGCACATGCTTGCACCCTTGCTTGCTTACTCAGCTATATTCCTTCATTTTTACACAGTCCAGGACTCAGACCAAGAAACGAGCTCCCCAAGCTCAGGGTCAGTCTTTTCGCTTTCAAAATACCTCTCTGTATTGCTGAGGGAGCACATACTAGAAGCCATGCCAGAGAAATCAAGACGAGCCCGCACAGACATTTCTGTAGGGCCCATGGGAATACAGTAGAGGCCTGCAGAGTAGGCCAACCCAACCTAGCCAGTTCTCAGCTGAGGGCTTCTTCCGGGGCACTCTAGACTGTGGCAGGTTGGTTGACAAATACAACTAACGAGCATGGCGGGCATGGTGCCAGACTTGGAAGTGATTCCCAGGTCAGATGTCATTTAACCCTTTATGTGTCAGGCGGCCCCTTCTAGCAAACATGTGCATAGGAAATGCTATCTTACATGGCTCACAGTGGGCGCTCTCCATTCCTCTGTACCATACCAGGTCATGTGACTCCCAGATAGGCTGGTCTAGGAAAGGCCGACGCACACAAGGGCATGGGCTTCTAGTGAGTTCTTTAGAAGCCTCTGCAACAGCTCTATAAAAAGCCAGAAGAGGAAAACACACCCGAGGATGAGGCCAACCCTGGGAGAGCCTATGAGCTCACAGTTTTGCTAATTTTTGTTGGTGTCTGATGAAGGCTGTACTGATGTGTTAAAGTCACTTGGTTGTAGACAGCTTTCTTGGGTTTAGACAACATCACCACACCAGTGCCACAACAGGCACTGGCCACAGAAAGTGCCTTCTTCCCCTCCTCTGAAGCGACCTCTCTACTTGTGCCCAGCTCCGTATCACCCCATAACTGCACACTGCCACGATATACTCCATTCTCCCTTAATTGCTCATGAATTTGGAGAAACAGGTATTTTCACCTGGAAAAAAATAATTCTAACAAACTCTTCACCGGAACTTTTACCTTTGCACAGTGAGACCACGGGTGTGATGTGGAAATCCATCACAGATGATGAAGAAGACGGAGATGTAGCCAACCCACCTGTTTTTTTGTGGAGCAAGCTGGGTCTGTGCCTGCAGAGGCTGAGGTCCTGGGCCTGGCTCGCAGCTGAGGAGAATGAGGCCCTTTCACCTGCTGAGCTCCCAGGAACGAAGGGAGAGTTCTGAGGTGGCCTGGCTTCACTTTTCTCGAGGCTTGATGAGTAGAAGGCATCCTGAGTTTTCTTCTTTTCCTTTTTTAACATATTGACCAGGATATCTGAAATCTGGTTTAAGGATAAATCCTACAACGGCTCCTGAGAGATGATCATGATCACACATAAATTCCAAAAGCAATTATTATTCTCCAACCAAATAACTGCAACTAATGAACTTTGTGGGAGGCTGGCCACAGGGACACAGCAATTCCTTGAATTTGAATGTGCAGCTGTAGACAGCTTAGGAGGGACTCAGCCATTCATTGTGACACAATGATATGGAAACTATCAACCTGAAAAAAGATCTTTAAAATTGAAAGGTCTTTAAAACAGAAAGATCTGTAAAATCTGATTAACCTTTGTGTGAAGAATAGAAATGGGAGCCAGGCGATATAGCCCTGTTGGTCAAGTGCTCGCCCAGCTCACACAAAGCCCCGAGTTCATCCAGCACTACATTAGGCTGGCTGGTGTAGCTCATGCCCAGAATCCCAACGTTCCTGAGGTAGAAGGAGCATCAGAAATTCAAGACCATCCCTGTCACCATAATGACTCTGAGGACATCTTGGGCTATGTGAGACCCTGTCTTCTTTCAGCACCCATGCAAAAGGCTGGGCACAGAGAGTGGAGCTTCTTGCCAACAGTTCTGGGAGGTAGAGAAAGGATGACACCTGGGGCTTACTAGCCAGTGTGTGACCAGCCAAACTAGCACACTCCAGGTTCATTGAGAGGCTCTCAAAATACAACCTGATTGAGGAGGGCGTTCAGTATCAACCTCTGGCACGCAGGACAGCATGTGTGCGCACGCACGCTTACACACACAGGAAAGTACGAGGGAGGAGACTGCTACTTAGAACAGGGCAGGGGTGGGCCTCGTTACATGTTTTTTGAGCAAGTATCATGGAAACAATCTTCCTCAGATTTAACTTCAACTTGCTGAGGTCTGGATGGCCAATCAGTTTCTCTGTTAGACTACTCAGTGTGGCTCCTGTTCCTTCCTGCCTCACAGGATCTCGGAGTATCTGTTCTCTCCTCCTGCTATGTGAGTTCCAGGCGTCAGACTCATGTTGCCAGGGTTGGCAGCAAACGGTTTGCCCACTGGGCCCTCTCTCTGGCCCCTTGTCTCCTTCCATATCACCATTGTGAATGGAAGCCTCCGAGTCCAGTCACTTATTCACAACATGCAGCATCTAGTGTCGCCTACATCAACAGCTGTGTGGGATTGGGAACCGTGAAGAAGGTGGGGGCGGGCACACACGTGTCTCCCGTTCACTCTCACTTTTCTATAAACACGTGGAGTGGCCCCTCTCTGTCACGTCTCATTTCATTCCTCCTTGATGCACAGATGCTCATTAGCCATGGCGAGCACTGAGAGGTTGGTAGGAGCATTTAGGCGGGAAGATCCTAGGCTAGGATCAAGGCCAAGAAAAGAAGCAGAACACAGACTGGGGCTAGGGCCAGGCTGAGGCCATCCCCGGAGATGGATGGGGTAAGAGAGAGGGAAGGAATGCAGGGTGACAACGCTGTGGGCAGCACTTGGAGACACGGCGTGAGTGGGTGGGGGTGTGAGTCGCAGCTGGACTTAGTGTTACTGGCTGGATAATAAAGTAGCTAAAACTAACTTGAATCTGACATGGGGTCTGCTAAGACTCAACTAAAATTAGAGACTGAAGCTAATGAGGCACTTCATCTACATTGTTTGGATTGGGTTTTACCTCGTACACTTCTTTCCCTCCCTCCCGTGTGTGTGTGTGTGTGTGTGTGTGTGTGTGTGTGCGTGCACGCATGTGTGAGTGCTGGCATCTGAAAACTCCAGAAGAGGGCATCAGAAGGCATCGGATACCCTAGGGTTGGAGATACAGGGGACCATGAAACCACGTGATGTAGGTGTATGGGCACGACTGATGGGAAATAAAATAGAATCCCTGGAGGAGCAGCAAGGGCTCTTAGCTGCTAAGACATTTTTCTAGCTTCTTTACACGCTTCTTTTAAATGTACAAAATATGAACATACGGCATAATATATTTGCTCATGTGTCCCCAACCCCATGTTGAGACCCGAACCCAGGCCTATGTCTCCAACTCCTGCAAGATACACTTTTAACTGCTGATCCATCTCCCCAACTCCCGGGTAGAAAAGACTCTTTTAATGGATTTTGTGGGACAGCTGCACTTAAAATGTCTTAGTAAAATTTTTTTTTAATGACTAAAGTATGTGTATAAAAATTTGGCACAATTATTTCTTGTGAGTGTTAAAGGCTATAAATGTCATGAAAATGTCAAATCTTTTACAAGAAGATTGAAAGGTAAAAATGAGGTATAGTTCTGAAGAACTGCCCCTGAGGCCTGAGGTTTAAGTAGCTGGGCTGGGACTCTTTAGAAGTAATTGCTTCTGTCTGCACCAGGAGGCAGCGCCCGCACCCACCAGCAGCTAGAACCATGGCCTTCAGCACCCAGAAGACACTGCCTCTGGGAGCCAAGAAGAATTTTATCTTGAACACTCAATCTCTGCTCACTTCCTAATTTGGGAACATCTGTGTGTGGGACTCAAGACAAGAGATCTGCCTTTTAAATAAAAAGTTATATCTAAGCCAACTTCTCTGCTTTTCATAAAATAAATACCACACACCATTTTTTTTCCCCAATCATCTTTTGAGCTTCACCCACACACCAGCCACAAATTCTGGGCCACGATGAGACTGTGGTCAGCATGGTGTCTGGTCAGCTAGCTAAAGATAACCAGCTAGCTTACTGGTTCTGGACTCAAAACACAAAGCCCACCACAGAGCAACCAAAATACATCTGAGAAAGACTTAGTGTTGAGAGATGGTTAAGACAGTATTCCAAGAGATGAAATGTTCTAAGAATAACTCTATCAAGGGCTTGAGAGATGGCTCAGCTTGCCACCAAGCTTGATGACCTCAGTTTGATTCCCAGGTTCCATGTAGTGAAAGGAGAAAACTGATTGTCCTCTGACCTCCATATGTATGAAAACACACAAGCACACACCAAGCTAAAAAGCTAAAGTCAGAGGTTTGCTTGCACTTTCCTTGAGTGACACATCTCACTGTGAATGGGAAGCAGGTTGGGATAGGCTGGGATATCAAGCTATGTGGTAGCATGGGGGACTGAAGAGGGGAACCTACACATTCCCTCCCCTTCCAAGCTAGGCGAGTGAGAGCCCCCAAAAGGATACTGATTTCATTGTCTCTCTGCTTAAGGAGGTCTCGGAGCTTTGCGGATTCTTCATCCTTGAGTGGTTCTTGGCGCACCTGGCGTGTGGTTTCAGAAGATGTCTCCTCTGAACCATTCTTTAGGGTCTTCTTGTCATTTAACAGCTTCTGCAAGTTGGGGGGAGAACTTACTGACCAAGCCCGTATTCTAAATTTCTTTGCTGCTATGCCGTTCCTAGTATGCACTGGGCATGCATCTTTGCCCTTACTCCTGTCTTTAAGGAAGTTACGGCATTTGCTGGATACGTTTTCTTCTCATTCCCCTCTGCCTTAGCTTCTGTCTCCTCTCGACTCCTTCCCCCTTGTTGTGAAGCTATTTACTCAAAACTGAAGTATCCTCTCCCAGAGTGAGAGGGTAGGCTCTATGGCTCAAGAAGCAAATAAAACTTCCAAGACACAGGAAGCTCCTGAAACTTACAAGGTTCAAACAATGCCCTTCCGCTAAGGTTAACAAGCAGAAGACAATCACTGAAGGAGAGGAGACTCTTGCAGTGTGGCCGGCAAGCTGCACAGGGACCTTTACCTATGCAATTGTTTTGAGTCATCACCCATGCTGGCATGGATGATGCGTGTGCCTTAAGTCACCAATAGTCTGTAACCCCAATAAATTCAGTGATTCACTCAAATAGACTCAGGCGGAATCACTTCTTTGGTCGCTTAGTGCCTTAGCTAAGGCAAATAGATGTTTGTTTGCATTTCCACAGAAAATGGTAACTGCTCCATCATTCAAAGAAGTGTGCAAAACTGCAAGTGAAAACTGAGGACATTCCCACCCCTTATACTCCACAAAGGCAAAACTTCAGAGGCTGAGGAAAATTAATAAATTATTCAAATAAATCAAAATACTGAAAAAAAACTGGACATGATCATCTTGATACTATTTGAAAATATGTATGCGTACATGTGTGTGTTCATGTTTGTGTGCGTGTGTGAGTGAGTGTGTTTCGGCACAGACCTATTCCAGGCACGAGGCAGAGACTCCTGGCAGAGGGATTAGAAGTCCACGGCCAGAGTTTATTTGTGGAAAAGTTGGAGAATCCCTGCAGCTGCTCGGTGACAGTCGCAGTGTGGTTGGATGCTTGGGCTGTTTTCTGCATGTGTAAAGCTGGTCCTGGCGTGTTAAGAGTTGGTCAACAGGAAGAGTTTTTATTGCAGTTGGAACGTGGCAGGACATGGCTGGAGGAAACACTGAAATGTACCTTAAAATGATGAAAACAGTGATGGATTTTACGCATGTCGGCGCCGACTTCCAGTCTACTCTCGGGATCTTGATCTTCCAAAAAGGATGCTATTAGTTTCTCCAGCCTAAAAAACACATAATGCGTAAGAAGCAAGAATGGGCTAGAAACCTTAGAAACCTGATGGCTTGACTCGCATGTAGAGGACTTGAAGTACAGGATATTGGGCCCATATTTTCTGAGGATTCATTACTTCGTTTGTCTGTGGATGTGGAAGGGGAAAGCATATTGATAAAGTGGAATCTGCAATTGTACAAATCCTTGGCTAATTTCCAAAGAATGTTCACATGCAGATCTCCATATAAAAGCTCTCTGAGGGGCTGGAGGGATGGCTCCTGGTTAGGAGTGGCTCACAACCACCTGTAACTCCTGCCTCAGGGGATCCGATGCCCTCTCCTGGCCTCCAAGGGCACTGCACGCATGGGTGCAAGCACACACAGATACATACGATTAAAAATTAAAAAAATAAATATTTTAAAAGTCATTTGATTTTTATAACCTTTCCATTCTAGCCACACTGAACCTCTTTGCCTCCGAGCCAAGCTTCCACATTGTTAGGGGAAGTAGTAAAAAAATAAATAATTCCTGTATTAGTTTCTTTAAAAGCGCACGGTGCTCAGCCTCAGCCACCCTCTGCAGTGCTCCACAATGCCTTTGATCGCTCCTGGTGGACTTGCAGTCTCCACAATGGTTCTTCCCAATCTTTCCATGATCCCCAAGCTTGCCACTGAATTTCCCCCATGGACCAGTGAGCTACCTTCTCACCAGGCTGAGAGAGCCAAGATGCTGCCACAGAGTGTGTATTCTGGGCATCCTGACAATAGCTCTGCCTCACCACCCAGGCTCTGTCCGCTCTCATCCCTAATCTGACAACACCCTCCCTTCTTCTCCAGGATATCCTCTCCCACTTGCTTCCCCTGGCATTGTCATCACTATTCCAGAGAGACTCTCTTCTTTCTACGTTCAGTAATTTTCATGTTCTTCCTATTCTAAAACAAAACAAAACAAAAGACAAAATTAAAAAATACCTCTCTTTGGGGAGGAACAGCCAACCACTCTTTATTCCATGTACCCTCAACCTCATTTTCCCATCCCTGCTGCCTTCTAGAATCTGTGAATGTACCTGAGCCAGCCTGCTTGCCAATCACAGCACTTCCTAAGCATCACAACAGGTCTGGAAAGATGCAGAGCACGCCTCATGAAACCAAGAAGCCTACATTCAGAACTCCAGCACTCATGTAAAAAGTCTGCCATGGCCTTGCCTGTAAATCCCGGCACTGGGGAAGGGAAAGAGGAGGCTCCCTGGGGCTTGCTGGACAGTCAGCCTAGCTGCATAGGCAAATTCCAGGATCAGTGAGAGGCCCAGGATCGGTGAAAAGTGATAGGGGAAGATGACAAACATTGACCTCAGGCCTCCATTGGCATATAATGCATGTGTACACAATACTCCCACACATGAACACACACACACACACACACACATGCAGATGACAAGGAATAATAATTCTTGTTGCTTTTTGTCCCACCCCTAACATTAGGCGCTCAGTGTAAATAGAAAGGTTAGTAAATGGATTCATTTCCTGAACTCCATTCCCTTGTATTGAGTTGGGACCCTAGACAAGGAGAGCTGAAGGTTGAAGGACGATGGTCAGTTCCTAAGCTGCCGGGCCGCAGACCTGCCCTCCGGTATCTTACTAATATGACGAAAATAACTGCATACTTTCCATTCTTTGAAACGGTCCATACTTCCCTCCCACTGCTGTTATCAGCAGCCCCACACAACATGGATAATTTCTGTTCCGGGGAAGACTTGTTCCTGCAGCCTGCTACACAGACAGCTGACAATGTCAAGTATGAGACAATTTACACTGCGAGACTATTTTCTGATATGATTTTGTTTTCTTGAGACAGAATCTCCAGCCGTAACCCAGGACGTCTTCATGCTCACCAGGTGGCCCAAACTGGCCTCCAACTCGTGCCAATCCTGCTGCCCAAGCCTTCTGAGAGTGAAGGCGTGAGCCATTTCGCCTCTCATCTACCATTACACCTGGCTCTTAAAGGATGTTCCTCAGATGTAGGGCAGTTGTCACTTTCACATCTTGTCTTAGTTTATATTTCTGTTGCTGTGACAAGATTCTCTGACAAAAGCAACTTACAGGAGAAGAGGGTTATTTTAGCTCAGAGTTGATGTTCATTATGGGGCATCAAAGTCAGGGCAGGGGGAGCGTGAAACGGCACCCCCATTCTGGAAACAGAACTAGATGCTCCTGTTGCTTCCTGGCTCCTTTTCTCCATTTTTCATTATCAAGGAATCTTGCACGAGCCTCAGATGCAATGCCACATAGCTTCCTGGTGCACTCAGTGATTTCAAACAGCAAATGTGACCAACTGAAATTAAAATCCAGGCCAGGTTTCCCTCACAAACAATGGTCCTTTGTGAGACCATCTGCTTATCATCATATATTTCTACTATGGAATTCAAAAAAGCTATTTCGAGTAGATTTTATCTCCTTTTTAGGGACAGGGTCTCAAGGCTGGCCTTGAACTGACTGCTTAGCTGAGGATTACCTTGGGCTAAGGATCCTCCTGCCTCTGTCTCCCCAGGGCTAGCTATGTGCCTCCACATCCAGTTTACAGAAAAAGTTTTAAGTAAGGCAGGCTCAAAGCACTGAAGGTAAGTGTTAGGAGAACTTTTAAAATACAACTGTTGAAAGGTTTAAGACTCAGCTTTGCTGTTTGTGATTACAGGTTTTCACAGCGCCAGGTTTGTTTGTTTGTTTGTTTGTTTGTTTGTTTTTTAAGGTGTGTTCACCTTGTTATATTCTTGCTGCAGTAGGCCTAGAGAAGCTTAGTATTTAGAACAAAAAGAGACGAGATCAAAATAGCTGGCCCAGTGGGTGCTGGAGACCGTGCTGCTGGTGGAGACAAGCTGCAGGCCTGCTGGCTCTAGGCCCTCTGGGGCTGCGGGACAACGGCCCACCATGCTTACCGCTAGGTTCCCATCTCCTGTGCAGGAGGCCGAGGCCAGTGCTTCTGACCAAAACATTGGCAGCTGATATTCTAGCTGTCTATAAAAGAACAAACTGACATCGGTATCAATGTTCTAGAAGGTACCAGGCTGAAGGAGAAAACCCCAAGGATAGAATCCAGTATAAAGCCTGGCTTCAGGCCAGGAGACTGAGCCTCAGGTGAGACTTCTCCAGGTGGGGGCTGAGGACCTGCAGCCATGGAGGCAAGAACTGGACTGGTCCAAGGTGTGAGCAGCAGGCTCTTGCCTTCTGGAGACGCTTGGCCGGAGATGATCTCCAGGTCACCCAGGCCCTGTTGGGCACTGGCCTGCAGGTGTCCACCTCAAAGGATCTATGGGTGAAGAACTTCCAGCTTACCTAAAGAGCGCAAGCAGGCTCAGTGAGGTGCTGACAAGAACAAGCAGTATGTAGCTAGCTGCCTTACCTGCTGTTTTTGCCCCTCCGCCTCTACCCAGCCTGCTCTGGTCCTGCCTTGGCACGCCTCATGCCCAAGTCTCGATATGACCACCGCAGCCCTGGTTCTGGCTGTTCTGTACACCTGGTCAGCAAAGCTTTCTGTTCTGGTGGACAGTAGCAGTAACAATTCCCCGGGCTCCAGCCCCTCCATTAGAGGGAACCCATAGGTTTCTGACCTTCCCCCATTGGACTGCACAGCATAATACATGAGTGCAGTCATAGCTGCTGGGGGAGGGGCTGTCCTCCCTCCTTCATATTTCTGTGTTCCAAGAGGCCACCTACAGCCTGGACTGCAAGTAAAGGTGCGGGCGGTCTCCTTGATACGCCAGCTCTCAGCTTGTATGGAGGGTGTGTCTGGGATCTGTATCCCTTCATGCCTGCACAGTCTTCCACAGCCTCCCTGACAACACAACTCTGCCCACAGCTTCCATTCTGGCCCCAGCTCCTGACTATGATGGATATCAGAAAGGAGGGCCTCAGCATGGCTACAGTGGAGCCCACTGGCTTGCCCTTCCTTTTCTGGCACCCTCCTTGCTCATCCTTGAGGCAACAGTATCTGTCACCTGGTGACATGGAAGAGAGATCTGATATTATATTGCACGGACAGTGTGTCCAGCCCTGCTGTCTGCTCTGGCCAGGCCCCATGCCCAGCCCATAGAGAAAGGCAGACTAGAGCTGGATGCTGGGTGGCATTACCTGAGGCTCCACCCTCCTGTAATGCTACAGACCCCCCTGGACGCTCATCTGCACCCTCTACTGCCCTCAGCCCTCATCCTTTCAGAGGTGACGGTGGAGGGTGCTACAGAAAGGATCATCCTGAAGCAGAAAGACACACACTTACTCATATAGACATATAATATAGGATAAACCTACTAAAATCTGTACATCTAAAGAAACTAATCAAGAGCGAGGACCCTGACTAAAAAGCTCAATCCTTATCCTGAAAGGCAAAGAGGATGACATCAGAAGAAGAAGAAAACAGGAAACAACCTAGGAACCTGCCACAGAAGGCCTCTGAAAGGCTCTGCCCTGCAGACTATCAAAGCAGACGCTGAGACTTATGGCCAACTGTTGGGCAGAATGCAGGGAATCTTATGAAAGAAGTGGGAAATAGTAAGGTCTGGAGAGGACAGGAACTCCACAGGAGAGCAACAGAACCAGAAAATTTGAAGACAGGGGTCTTCCCAGAGACTCATACTCCAACCAAGTACCATGCATGGAGATAACCTAGAACCCCTGCACAGAAGTAGCCCATGGCAGGTCAGTGTCCAAGGGGGTTACATAGTAATGGGAACAGGGACTGTCTCTGACATGAACTGATTGGCCTGCTCTTTGATCACCTCCCCCTGAGGGGGGAGCAGCCTTACCAGGCCACAGAGGAAGACAATGCAGCCACTCCTGATGAAACCTAACAGAATAGGATCAGACGGAAGGAGAGGAAGACCTCCCCTATCAGCAGACTTGGGGAGGAGCATGCATGGAGAAGGGGGGGGGAGGTGGAATTGGGAGGGGAGGAGGGAGGGGCTTATGGGGGGATACAAAGTGAATAAAGTCTAATAAAAATTTAAAAAAAGAAAAAAAA